ATATTTAAGCCTTTTGTTCTTAAATAATGACTCCGTGGCGTAGTTAGCAATGTATTTACTTCAGCGCTGGTGGTCGTGGACTCCATACGCCATACGAGACAAATATTCGTGTGGCTATTTGTGTAACAGATAAATTGTTTCGGATCTAAAAATACAAAAATGTTTATTTCATTAACATATTTCTTTTACAGTTAATAAATATTTGGAGCTACATTTTAAGCAACAGTTTTGCTTGTGTTAGGCAGCACCGCTCTTCCATAGCATACTTATGATAAACTTAACTAAATACAGTACAAATTAAAACTAATTTCCAAAAAACATAATTTAGTGTATGTCATTTCATAAATATTTAGTTCTTTATTAATTTTATTGTATAAGACTGTATAATACACAGTAATTACAGTAATTACTGTATTGTAATAATATAATAATAAAAAATAAAAAATATCTTTATTCACATAGACGCTTGCGCGTTCTTATGAAACGTCAAAATTTTACAAGAAATGAACACGTTCGTAAGTTACCACCGGTTCGGAAAGCAGTTTCTGTTGAGAAGAAACCGGCAAGAAACTCAACAGTTGCTCTTTTAAAAAAAAAAAAATCAGTTTACAATATAATAGTACATGTACAATAGTCTTGTTTTAGCCTACGTGAGTATCAACAGTATTAACCCCACACATTGGCGTCGTCAAGATATTCAGCAATAGAATAATAGGCTTTAGCCATAAGTTTACTTTTAATTTTTCGTTTAAATTCATCAAGTGGCAGACTTAATATCGACTGTGGGATTTTATTATACATGCGCACACCTTGCCCCATGAACGACCTGTTTACTTTTTGTAAACGAAACAATGGCGTAGTTAGTTTGTCCTTATTTCTAGTATTTAGTTTATGTCTGTCACTATTCTTTAGATAACTATTAATATTATTTTTAACATACAAAATGTTACAATAAATATATTGAGACGCAACAGTGAGTATAATAAATATCTAATAAACTGAATTTACTCGTGTATGTTGCACCAGGTTATATTTTCTTCTAGAATTTTTAGCGATATGTTGGTAAGGAAGCGATTTGTGTTTACTGAGCACAGTGTTCAAAATATATAATTTTCTAACAGTTAATAAATCAGCAGAAGAGTAAAGTAAGTCAGTTGAGAATTCTCTTGGCTTAAAGTAGATAACCTTCAGCAATGATCTCTGAGCTCTCTCCAAGTCTAGAAATCTATTTTCGACTGCCCCACCCCATACAGTTATGCAATACGTCAAGACAGATTGTGTATATATATATATATATATATATATATATATATATATATATATATATATATATATATATATTTATATTTATATATATATGTGTAAGGCGGGATAGGTATTCAGAAGCCACATGCCGTAATGTTTTAAAAGACCATATTAGTTTTCTTATTCTAATTAACAGAAGTTTAATGTGACCATGTCATGACAGTCGCTGATCAAGTACGATATCTAGGTATTTTGTACTAGTTACTCTTTTAAGTTCAGCACAGAAGCAAAAGAAAGTAGAATTTTTATCACATTGGTGGACAACTATTCGAAAATCAATCGAAACAAATATAGTTACTTTTTTTAACATTAAGTGACAAAAGATTTGTGTTCAGCCAAGTAACAATATTAGCCAGTCCCGTTTCAGTCCGTGATTTTAAACGTTTCCAATCCTTAGCTGCAAAAACAATAGCTGTGTCATCCGCATATGAAAAAATGTGACCTCCATCAATTTGTATATTACAGAGCTTATTTATGTAAACAAGAAACAAAGTAGGACCCAGCACACTACCTTGAGGCAACCCATAATTAACAGTACACTCAGAACTTAATCTTAACCCCACTCTAACTCGCGAATTACGATTAGTTAGGTAACTCTCTAGTAGTTTAAGCGGATTTCCTCTAATACCTGCCTCGTGAAGATTACGCAGAAGAATTGGTATGGACACCATGTCAAAGGCTTTTTTTAAGTCGAGAAAGACCACCAAGCACTTGTTACTAGCATCATTATTTTCAACAATAGCGGAATTCAGAGCCAAGACAGCGTCTTCAGTAGATAGGTTTTTCCGAAATCCGTATTGAGACTTAGAAAATACATTATACTTAGTGTGAAAATACATTATAACAAGTGTTTGTTTTAGTGCAAATGGAAAAACTCCCCACTGAAAACACTGATTAGTGAGATGAACTAGAATAGGTAACTAGGGTAAATAGGGATCTGATTATTTGTCTACGTGAAATTTATGTACCTATACCAAAAGTCCTTACAACACAGGCTAATGTTATACTACAGTAAGAGGGATATGTTTACGAAGGGATAACTACAACAGTTCTTTCTGGGTCGCAGTGGTATCTGTGACATACTATTCAAACCTTTCCACAAGAAATAAAAATATGTTTTTAAATGTTTCTTTACGAACATGAAAGTTATCAGCTCATCAGTCCATGATATGATCAAAGTAATAATATCAACAATATCTCCGACTCATCTATTAATAGCATTAAAATTAAGGTTCCGGTTCTAATGATAATGATAAATTTGACAGGGTCATTCACTTAACTTAATATACATTTATCGAAATTTAGTAACAAATAAATGCTTGCTGAGTATTCTCAAAGTACGCCATCTCTGCAATAAGTCACCCAAATTTGTTGCACTACCCATACAACTCTCTCTTGACGTTGGAACTACTGGGCAAACAACTATAAATTTTGGATGTACTGCTTTAGAGATATCCCCGTATAAGCTATTCCAAGTCATAACGCTGTTGTTGCATCAAAAATTTGATGTAAAATAACTAGCTAGTAGTAGCTGAGTAGCTTAGTATAATCGCTAGATTAAAAATTTAAAACAGTAAAATATTAAAATTATGTAACCTATTAATTTTTAATAACACGGAATAACAGACAAGTTACGTACTTCATTAGGTAACTAACGTAATAAGTCACATATTTCCTTTTTATAATTTTTCTGCATAATAAATAATATACAGGTTGAATCGAAAGTAATATTATTAAAAATGAAGTTTAAATCCATTAGAATACAAGGAAGATGTCAGCTTATAAGGGGATTCAAATATTAAATATAAGGGGATAATGCCCTTACGGAAATAAAACTACTATACTATAATCCTTTTTTTATTTATAACTTATTTATTATCTAGGTTTTATAATTTCCATTCGTTTGCAAAATTCAATTAACAGTTAGGGAAGTTTCTTGAACATGTAATCTACAAAGGTATCGTAATACCGACTGACGAAGTTAATTATTATTACGGTAAAGGTATTTCACATTAAAACTTTTACTTCGACTAACAAAAGTTACAACATAAGATATTAATAACTATGAGTCTCTTAATAAACATGTTCGAAACGGTCAATTTTGAGACCGTTTTGAATAAATAGAAATTCTTTTTGCATTTCGAATTCCGCATTAAATATATAGAAATGAAACAGTTAATTCATTATTAAAGTAACAGAATTAACAAGTAAACATAGTTATCAGCACTACTTTCAACATACCATATTTAATACAATCGCAGTTGGTGCACCATCACATTCCATTATCTGACTCAATAATTTTAAATTAATGAAAGTGTATAACAAATACAGCTATGATTATAAATATTTGTTAAATTACACAGCCTTCCATATATGAATAAACAATAATTGTAGACATTAATATAACATTTTTATTATATTTACAATGTATACGCGAAAAGACAGAGTAGCTCGAGAAACAAATGTTTATGTAACGATAAAACCTATCCATTCGATTTCTGGCATGGCAACATGGTGGCTGATTAATTAGTTTTTTTAAATGAATTTTAAAAGTATTAGCACAGTATGGTACCTAATTGAATTAATTTATTACAGTTAGAAAAAAATCTTTTTTTCTGTCTCAATTATTATCATTAAAACCTTTAATAATAATAATTGATACGTTGGGCAAAACCGTATTTATATTACATCTCATTTTAACAAAACTAATCTCAAAACGTACATACGAGGAGGTAAATATTACAAGTAACTATTACAATTTTTGACTGAAAAAACATCAAAGAAAAAAGTTAATATTTACAAGCTACTTTCGTAATAATTATATACATTAAAAATGAAATTGCCTAAATTCAGTCTATGAACATTATTATTTGTATGGTTGTTACTTTGCAAACAAATAGTCGGAGTCACTTATTCTTTGTAACTTAAAGATTTTATTACTCTACGAGTTACATCATAGGATTTATATTAGCACTTACATTTTTTTAAACAGATCTTGATTCCTATCCAAAAACATTTTATAAATTACCTAGCGCGAATAACCTCAATTGGATAGTTTACAACTCAAATTGTTGTAAACTTTCCAATTTTCTTAACATTATCGTTATTATACTGTCATTGCTGTTAAACAAGAGATGTAACCATCCTTAACCATGTCAAGTAATTATAAATGAAAATCATGAATATATAAACGTTGTTAAAACTGGACAATTTTTGGATAAAAGTGTTTATGTAAATAAGTATTATGTTTCAACATACATCTATTGCAAGATGGTTTTATGCATTATTGTTAACTAAATATAATTGTAGTCCCAAATCATATATTTTTTTATTAAAATTAATTTCCATATCTTTATCAGTTATTGTGGTTGGGCGGTTTACCTACCTTGCACCTATTTATTGCAATAAAAACAAAATAAAATATTACATTCATTTTGTTTTTTATATGCTGACATTTGGCTTACAAATTTTATTGTGGTACGTATACTATAAATTATAAATAAAAAAATCGCATATTCTTTATGTAATTATAATTCTTGCCGAAACCATTACTATCCATTATTACGAAGCGGTAAGTAAACGTTATTGTATATCGTTATGAATACTTTAAAACCCTGAATATCTACACATACAGTACTTTCATTACTTACAAAATAACCATTTAAAACAATTGTTTGTATTACTTAAGTCAGCTATCTTATGGAGGTCTCGGTGTAACTTTGCATTAGTATTTGCAGGAGAACTTGCAAAAGTAACATAACCAAAGTCGGTATGCAAGTTTCTGTGGCTCCACCTGTAATAAAATATCTGTTTGAGATCCAAATCCGTATCCTTTTCACAGCAATTGATTCAAATGATATAAATAATATTAACTTAATACATTGTAATGAAACAAAATAACAGGTACTTTGTTTATTCAAAACATAATGCATACAATATTTAATACCATCATTACCAGTAAAACTTCTCCCTAATGCCGAGGCTGGATTTGCACTACGTTCCCTCAGTACTAATGTATGGCTCGTTGCTTTCCAAACATCGAATATACTTGCCTCACAACTGAAAAAAAATCATGTTTCTTATGGATATAAAATTAAAAAAGTTTTAGATATAAAATAAAATTTCATGTGTCTAAATAAATGTATACCGAATCATAAGTGTTGGCACTGGTGACAATACAGCCGCTTCTAATTCCAAGGTAGCTAAGCTAGAAGCATAGCCGTTACTAAAATTGAAAACGTGATTGCCCGTGAACCCTGGTACCTAAAAAATTAAAAGCACATTAGCTTCAATTTCTCTACGTAATAATCTAATAAGAAAAGTTCTCGAGTGGCAGTTCCGTGCCCGTGAGCGTAGCGTAGGCCAAGGATCGAACGATGACGTGTACAAATTTGTAGGAAATTGCAAGGCTCGAGCCTCTTATATAACTCGACATAAATTGTACCCTTTTACAATATGGCTGATTCATGACTTGGAGCTGTTACAGTTTACGAATAAGTAATAACTTAGCAATGGATGCAGGTAGCTCAAGCCCGTGCTTCGTGGCAATTTGTGGGGAGGCCTACTCGTATGTTCAGCAGTGGACTCAAATAAGCTGAAATGAAGATGAATAACTTAGCAAGCATTCCTAGATGCTAGGTACGCGTTGCCAACATTTAAAAGATGGACCCTGTTATGTTTCTTATGGAACGCAACGCAAATGTACAATACTTCCCCTTGATTCGGATTTGTATTGAGGATACGGTGCCTATTCGTGAAACAGCAGAAGATCGTTCAAGAAGTTATAATGGTTTCATAAGACTTAAGCATACTAAAAATAAGATCACATAACAGTTACGATTACAAGTTATTAAATAAAAATACACACTCCATTCACAACTTTGGTGTTATTAAAAATGGTTATTTTTTAATAATGTTACTATTAAATTCATTATTTTAATGGTCAATGGAATTGTTTTGAAGTAATGAAACAGATACTCACCATTTGTTCATTGACAAACCAGGTAATATTTGCAGCGGGAAGAGATGGTGGGGATGAACAATTGGCTCGTATATGATCGCCACCAATGTATGTCATGCGGTTGGCAGTTACGTTTGGATTTAATAGTGGCGGTTCTGTAAAATGATAAGAATTTTGTAAAAGCAGACTGACATGGTCTTCATTAAAATACAACTAATATCCGATATTCATGTAAAACTCACGCAAACGTTCTATGATTATTATACTATATAAGGTAATCGAACTCGAATCCTCGTAATGATTTGTGTAAGTTTTAATAATATTGACCATTGATGAACTCATTGAATTTCTCACGTTGCTTTTTTATGTTTAAGAATTAAGTATCTATATAGAAGTAAAAGCAATAGCTTAACAACTTTAAAGGTTTTATGAACAAATATTGGTTTGTTATATTTTATTCGTCTATATCTGATTCTTTGAAGCACAAAAACAAAGAGCTCGAGATTGAATTCAAGCTAGACCGTTTGTTTCTACCAAATGTCTCGACAAAACGCCAGCTGCATTGATATGCAATATTTCAGCGCTCCTAATAAAGGATTTGGTAGATGAGAGAGTAACATTGGGTACTACATCGGCTGTAGATTTCCAAATTGACAGATTTTTATTATCAACACAAAACTGACAATGTCTATCGTTCTACTTAACATATTTATGAAGAACACATGGACATTTTACTCAAGATAAAAGTTAAATAATAAAAACAAAAAAAAAACAAGTACCGATATCTGGAAAGAGTTTTAAAATATTTAATTTGACTTACCCACAACGACCATCTCTGCTGATTTGATGTCGGTGTGAAACAGCGGTGCGTCTGCTGATACTTCGCACTGGTATTCGCCAGTCAAGGTTCTGTCTACTTCGGTAAGCACCACACGATTCTGGTCCGATGCTGCCACCTAATTATTATGAAACGGAGTAACAATTCTATTCAGATCAGTACAGGAGAAGGTAATATGCGATTTTTGTTTTGTTAAATGGTTAGAATGAAATTACCATCTACAAAATTTATTCAAAGCTATTGCGTTATTAAATATAATTGGACTTCACATATTCTGCTTGTTTATATATTTAAGTTATATAGGTCAAAAATAAGCTTTCTAAATAAAAATATTCTGGTTGTGCATTGTGCACAGTGCAAGAGCATTAATTTTAAATTTATTTAGCTTAGCAATTTTCAAAAATATTATTTGTTACACCATTGATATTTAAAATTTTGAAACATTTAGCTAAACTTTAAAACGAATAAGAGAGTTTAATTAAGCAGTATAATAAATAACTTTTGAGCTTGAGCAGCCGCCATTGAATTTTTGCTCCCTAAAACAGAAAGCCGATTTAAAGGATTAAAATAACACGGTGTTTTAAAATAAGGTCACAGTATAACAATTTGTAGTACTACAATATTTTGCTTTTTATTGAATGGTTAATCACGATAATACACTTAATAACTATTAATTCAAAAGTGGAAGGATCTATCAATTACAACCTTTCGTCTCGTCCAATCAACAAATTTGTTAATTTTTTTTCTTAAAAATAAATCTGGAAGCCTTAAAAGATAGTATTCAAATATAACTAATGAATAAAATAACCCATTGCCAATCTTGTTACAGTATAACTATACATAACTTCTATAATATATAATACATAACTTCTTTACACATGAAAGTGAGAAGACATGTTTCTTAAATTAAAAAGGTGACTTTTATTCAATATCGATGATATTCCAGAGGAGGTATACTTACGTCGACTTTTATCTCAGCCACAGGAAACACTTTTGTAGCCGGTGACTCCTTTGGCACATATCGATAAAATTCTATCATGTTTCTGTACCATCGTATAGAGTACAATTGTGCGCCTTCTAACTCGTAAGTACACATTAGCTCGGCGTCTCTGCCCGTTAAAACGGCTCGCGGGACGTGGATTTGCAGAGATTTGAGTGTATTTGCTGTACCTGTAGACAAAGTTTAAAATTTAAAATGGAAACTCTGTATATAGGAACAATGCTATATAATAGAACTCTCAAAGGTTTTAAATAGCTTTTCATTATTTTCACATGTTTTAATACAGCATGGTGTGACAAACACGACATTAAATTAACACACTTCTACGCAACTTGCCAATATTTTTAAAAATGTATATACGTTAAGATAACATAGTTAAAAAAAATAGTTTTCAAACAAACTAATTAAATAAAAAAGAAAATAAAAATTGTAACATCCTATACTATTGTAACTACAACTGACTGATTTGATAACATTCAGAGACTTTTTCATTCGTTGCAACAACTTCGCATGCCACAAGTATCTCCTTTTAACAGTATGTGTATTTAATATCTCTATTAAATTCATTCAACCAATTCATTCTTTGTGACCTTCACAAATGAACTTTAAAATAATTGTTTGTTTTGGAAAATTTAATACCTCGGTAAATGTTGATGTTTAAAGAAAGTAAATGTTTAATACAATTTTAAAAAGTCGTCCTCTTTATGCGTGTTAATTTATGGTGGCTTAAGTAGCGCCACGTTGTAAAAATCAATATTTAATGAAAGTTCACAATAAGAATTAAATTATTATCTCATAGATAATTTGTAGCTCCTTTATCCTTTTCAGGTGAAATAGAATGTGAGATAATTTTAAATAGACGAAATAAGAAGATAAAACCAGGGATTTTGTTAAAACAATGCCTTGTTAAGGAAATAATGCGGCCACAAATTGTTATTTCACCTTCAGACTTTTCCACCAAGGTGAAGAAAGTAAATAACCAGTTTATGGCAGCTCGTTAGAAGTTCGGTCATAACGATAAACGACGTTTATGCTGCTATCGCCGTTCCCCCTTCAAATCTGGGACTCTTAATACTTTTGTAACTTATTATTGGCCGGCACTTAGTCGACGTACTTCAAAAGAGTTCTGTTGTAACTTTGATGAGATTTAGAAGTTACTTAAAATGTTAGGATCATATTTCCTAAACAGCTTCTCTATAACTTTATAGGATGATTATAGCTCACTCATTTTAACATATAATTGTATATTCCACTTTTATTATTTTCTTTCTTTTGTATAATTGTACACCAAAAGCATATATCACGTAATTTTTTGTGGATCGCTGGTTACGCTGGCCTAAAAAATATTTTTATTGTCATAATTTTAGCGAATTTTCTCTTTTATTTTATCAAAGGGTCAAAAATTTTTTTAGAAAAACTCTGTACTTTCTGTAGAATAACATGATCCTGTGTCGTTAGAGCATTTTAGAACCATAAATTACACGTGGACAAACACTCAAATCCGAAAAAATTATATGTGGGTCACACAAATACTTTTCCCGTGAAATAATCGAAACCACGACCTTTGTCACTAATACCCTGACAACTGCGCCATAGAATCATCAAAAAAAAATTAAGGAAAGAGATTATATAACCTAAGCCTATTCTGGTGTTCTTATTTCTAACACCTACAATCATCTCATTTCAGTCAGAATAGGCTCTTTATAGTATTGTAGTCTCTTTATATTAATAGTACCAGGAGGACCGAGCTTTGTACGGTTTTTTTTTTGGTAAATTATGTATTTTGGAAATAAAAAGAAATAAAAATAAAGAAAATGATCTGGTATAGAAAAAAAAGTTAGCGACCTATTATAAAATTTTTTTTGCGGCGAAATTTACTGTCTACCTAGCTAGATCGATTTTTCGCCCCCGAATCTACGCACATACTAAATTTCATGAAAATCGCTGGAGCCGTTTCCGAGATACCGATTTTATTAAGATTATATCTTGTATATATATATACATATATACAAGAATTGCTCGTTTAAAGGATAAGATATTAGTGAATTCAAGGACTTACATCGTTCGAACTACAAATTAGCTAAGAAAAAATTTCACAGAATATAAATATACATATAGGCCTACAGAGAAAACAATGGATTGTAGATCCTTCTTAAAATATTTCTCTTGTCTCTAGTTTCTTAATATGGAAATCAACTCTCTAAATTATAAACACTTCAATTTATATCATCTAAAGGCAAGACCATAATGGTTAAATAGAACATTTATCAGCACGAATGGATTTGAGTTTACGTTAATCGATATCAGGTCGAAACAATTAAAACAAGTTTTAGTGGATTTCAACAGCGATATCGAGCTCTAAATTCGACACTGCGTACCGGACGGGGCGAACTGAGAGATAAAAGCTTTTAAAATCTCCGAATTTACGGTTTGTTTGCCCGAACGGAATACTGTTTGGGAAAATCCCAGCGTTTGCGGACCAATATTATTTTAATACGGACGCGGCGTAACATATTGTATGCGAAAACACGCTCCTCATTGCAACAGTAAGTTACCGATGCAATCCATGTTCTCTGAATTTTATCTGCACGAGCGGATAAACTTTCCACATTGTGGCAGTTTGAAAAACAATTTGGTATGTAGTGTTTGTGTGTAATTGTGTATTTGACCTATATAATTTTAAGAACATTTTCCCTACGTTAGGATAACATTATCCCGTATTGTAAGGACTTTTTATACAAATAAATCTCATGTGGACATACACCGAGATCCAAAACAATTATTATCTCTGGGTCCGCATAATATAGTTGTCCCATGTAGGAATCGAACCCACGACCCTGAAGCCAATAACTTGGCAACTGCGCCACGGAGTCATCGTATTATGAATTTTATTTAATTTATACTAATATTTCAAAATTAATAAGACATAATTATTTGTAACATTTCCTGTTACGTTTTCTAGAATTTAGTTGGTATCACATTTAGGTACAAAAATGCAGATTTTATGTATATTTATTATGAGTGTGTTTATGTATACACACTCATATTTCTTTCCAATTTTTATTATTCAAGTTTTTCATTTCGAGATTTTAAAACTCGACTACATAAAGGTTTAGAAATAATTTCGATCGGAAATTCGAATATAAATGTCACTGTTTTGAGGGAAAAGCTTATCAATTCAACTACGGCGTTTTATTACCGGAACTCTTGAAATTTGAATAACATCCCTTATCGTTACATTGTAAGGGACTAGGGTTAATGGAGCGAATCATTTTGATGCGCTCAGATCATTCGAGTGTAAGAATGATAAATTGAGGCTTTTTGAGAATAAAACCGGAAATTATTAATAAAGTCTTCACATAGGCGAGACGGTAGACAATTTCTTATTTAACAATAGATATAAAAACTACCTAAAATGTTAAAATAAAATATATAATTATCATAATTACATGGAGTAGGTTGGTATAAAAATTCATATTTTTACACCATTTAAAATAGCCCTTCTTATCGTTTGCAATTATTTATAACAAACATTACTGTTCTTTAATGTTTTTATCATATAATTATAATTCCTTAGATTAAGTAATATTAGGTAATAAATACACTTTGTACGCGAGTCGGACTTGCGCACAAAGTGTTCCATACCATTATCTTTAAAAACGGCTTTTACCTATTATTGTATACACGGTTCCTTAGATACAGCTTGGTGACAGACCGACAGACAGACAGACAAACAGAGGGTCCCGTTTTACCCTTAAGGTACGGAACCCTAAAATGTCGTATGCACCTCTAAGCAACAAAAATGAACACAACATTTCATAAGGCACTGCATTTAAATAAGTCCGAATAAGCAAATATTTGAAACTCGCATTCAAAGTTTACGTTGAGGCATTCAATTTGTGTCGTACACCGTAAAAGTGAATTTAAACGTTTAAATTCACGCTGAAGTGAACGGCTTAATGAATGCGCAAGCTATCCTCCAGATATGACGCGCTACGCCGACAAACTTCTGTACACACCTCTATTTTACGCTACGTTACACATCGGATTTGCAACGGTTAATACTTGGCATACCAAGCCATGTAGTAACTGCCATTTAATTTCTAAGAATTATTCTTTTTTTTTTCTTTCGTTGAAAAACATTGCCCTTACTTTAGGATAATATTACCCTGTATTTTAACGCCATGTTACAAATATCAATTAATATCACGCGGACAAATAGCTTCTTCCATTTGACCGTATTCAACGTAGGGCGACTCACGACGACTCGACAAAGTCTTTCCAATCGACTTGATCCTTTGACTTTGCGTAGAGATCACTGTGCATCTTCTACCGCTTTTATCACGGGGAGTGTTTAGGTACTTTACTGTAACATTCAGAATACCCAGGATATTGTATACAGCGTGTCTTTACAATCGCGACAATAAATGAACACACATATAGAGGATAACTTTTTAAAATTGTATTAAACACTTACATTCATTTAAACATCAATATTAACCGAGTTATAAAATTTTTCGAAACAAAGAATTTTAGAACACCTTTACGTATAAAACTGTAACGTAAAGTTCATTTGTAAAGGTCACAAAGCATATGAATGGGTTGAATAAATTTAAAAGAGACAAAACATACTGTTAGAAGGAGAGGCTTGTAATGCGACGCTGTGGCAACGAATGAAAAAGTCTCTGAATGTATGAATCAGTCAGTTGTAGTTGTATAGGATGTTACAAATTTTGTTTCTTTTTTACTTAATTAGTTTGAAAAAAAAAATAATTATGGATTTTTTTAATGTTAATATTTTTTATGATTATTGGCAAGTAGCGTTAGATGTGTGTTCATTTATTGTCGCGGTGGTAACGAGACGCTGTATATGTGACGGTAGTTGTCACAAAAGTATGTGTACCATGTGTAGCTTTATTCATAACTAGATAATACTCACTCACTCGTAGAAAAGGGTGATAGAATAAAATTCAGACAGATACAGACAGATGTGCACAATCACTTTATATACCGCATTCATGGTTTTGCCTTGTGGGTTT